CTTTTCTAATACAGGATGGGGCTATGTTTTTTCTTTGTTGCAATGACTGTGACTTATTTTAATAAACTTTGGCACAGACAGCTTGGTGTTACTCACGTGTCTGTTTGTTTAAGCTTCAATTGGGGGCAGTAAATCGCCCTAGACAAGAAGAGGGAGTTGGGGAGCATCATTTCAGAGTGGTCTCACTGCAGGGTGGTCACTAAGAGTGCTTCAGCCATCCGCATCTCAGTCCACTACAAGACACTCGCCTATCACTGTATCATGGAAAACGTTACAAATGATTCTGCTGACTGGTAAAATTAAAGGTATTTGAGATAGGTTGGGGAAGCCCTAACTCTGCTGTCTTGCATGCACAAAGTGTGACTTCAGTAAAACCTTTTGCTTCTTTAGGGAATACAGGAGAGATCTGATCACTAGAAGTTCCTGTGTTTCATTCTTGGTCTAGAATATTACCTGCTGTTTGATGCTGCCCAAGGACTAATAAAGCCTGCCTCCAAAAGGTGCCTTGGTCTAGCTGGAGTATGGTTAGGACTCCCAATAATACAGAGACCTCACACCTCACAGAACTCCCACAGGGGGTGGTGTGTGTGGTTCTGTGCCTGATTTGCTAAATAAAACATGTTAAGTAAATACCTGTCTGTGCCAGTATTTGGTCTCAGACTCACTTTCTTCAAAACATGGCAGGAAGTTGTGGAAAAGTAGCTGACTCTTGCCCATTTCAAAACCTCTGGGTGGGTACCATTAGCTACCACAAGACCTAAATGTTATGCATAACCAAACTGGCTTAGTCGGCTCACGACAGTTTTTATGAATAGTCATTTCAGGGCAAAACAAGCAAGTTGATAAATTCTTCTACTAGTTGCACTTCTATTGTCAAAGCTAAATGTTAAGTGATGGCTTAGGTCTTGTGACATGCATCACCACAGTGCCATGATGCAGCTCTCTCCTGTCACTAGGGTGATTCATATTTAGTTGACACTTTCAGATGGGCTTTGAAGCTGATGATCCTGGGCTCGAATCCTGGCTCCACTGCTGTGTTACCTAGGCCAAGTATCCTAACCTTGCTGAGCCTCAAATTTCTCTTTTATAAAATGGTGGTTGTCTTTGATAGCGATATATTCATATACATCACACTGCTTGATTCACACAATAACTATGTGAACCAGGCAGGACAGTAATATGGTTTTATATTCTTGTCCCCAATTAATCTATGGGAATTTAAATGACTTTCCCAGGGCCACATATCAGTAAGAGGTAGGCCTAAGACATGAATGGACATCTTCTGACTCAAACCGTTGGTTTCTCTCTCAAGTGGGAGCTAGAAGTATTACTGGAGGCATGATTCAAACATTTACATATTGATAATCTAAGGAAAAGACTACCTGGGGTTAGTTACCTGGGAGCAGCCACCGGGGGCAGAAACGTAATCTACTCCCACAAAGCTAGATTACTTGGCCACACACTGAGTTATGCTCAGTTTAGATTTAGTAATAAAACCACAGTACTTGGAAATCTTAATGAAATGAGAGGCCTTTTTGGACTAGCCCTGTTTAGCATGATCCCCATTTTGTCTGAACTTGGCATTTTCTTTTTTTGTATGTGTGACTTATTTGCAATATAGCTGATATGGCTCCACAGCAGGGATGACTTAGTAAGACATGCTTTATCACTGCAACCTGAGAAAGCATGCCTTACTAATTTCCAGGTCTCCATGGTGCAGCACCAAGTGACCAGTTGCATGAGGTCACTCTGTGCTGACATCTGACAAACCAGATGTCAACTCTGATATCTGAGTTTGAATGCTAGTTCTGTCTCTTGGTCCCAGCATTGTTGCACTCTGCCCTAGCCTATGTTTCCTGCATGATTGTTGTGTAGATCAAGGAAGGGGGATTCTAGAGGTGACAGCATTGTGGCCGCCTCTAAGGCTGGCAATCAACATCATTAATTCTAGAAATAGTTGTGCTCAGTGAGCCACTGTGGACTGACCAATGCTTCCTCATGCTTAATGGGTCCACATGGATTTATTCCTCCTTTTAATTTCTTTTTGCAAGTGATTTCCCCACCCCCCACCCCCCCAGCCCCACTTAAGGACGGAAGAATCCAGGGAGAAGACAAAAGTCAGAGAAGGGATTTGCAAGGGCGGTTACCAATAACTTAAAGCATTTTGACTAAAGGATACTTCACACCATCAAATGGCTTTAACCAGACGCTAGACAAATAGTCTCATGCCAATGAGCTTCTAAAGTGTGAAAGTATTTTACTTCAGTGAGCCTAATCTCTGATTCAAAATTCCCACGCAGACTTTTACGTAGTTTAGCTATCCTGATGCGGCTAAGCTGAGACCAGAGACCCCTAGTGTTGAAATTGGCCAGCTTTAGCTACCGTTTCCTTCTCTGGGTAACAGTGATAGATCATTAGAGGCAGCAAATAGCAAGGTGGAAGAGGTTTTGGTGATTATCTAGTTTTGCCTTGGCATAAGCTGAGACTGTTTATGCAACCGTTCTCTTAAGATGCTCCTTTCTGTCAAAAGGTCTGCAAATACATAAGAGCATGACATTCGGGGAAGAATGATGCAAAAACACATTATGTTAAGAAGGATTTCCTCCTAGAACCAAAGGCCATGCTGCTTTTTATCCAAGATCTCCATGATGGACCCCAAGGTGATACTAGGCCCAGTAATGTTCTCAGCATATGCCTGAGACAGCCTAAGATTTCTCCAACAGAAAGCCTTGGCTCCTCCTTTCCCACAGCTTCTCACCCAACCTGGACATGGGATGGCTTAGTGAATGGTTGCAGCCGTGAGCAGCTGAGGCTGCGAGTTTACCTGCCAATAAAACCAGTGTCTAAATCCCTCTGGTTTGTGGAAGACTTTTTCAACTGTATAAATTCAGCCTGTAATGATACCTACTCTACAAGTTTGAACGTTGCAAATTGTTTTTTTCGTAAAATGAGTTCAAGGGACACAATAAAGACATTTGAGGGAGTTAACACAGATAAGCATTGAATTGTGAGAAAAAAATAGAAAAACAGTAGGTTTTGAAATAATATTTTGCAAACTTGGCTGCACATTAGAATTTCTGGCAGAGCTTTTAAAAATACAGATTGTGGTAGATTGCAAAAAATGGCTACAGTCTTTCACTTCTTGGTAATGTGCTTTTTCAGCTTTTCCCATCAAGAAGTGAAATCTCTTTCCACTCCCACCGCTGTGAGGTTGGACTTATGGTGTCCTTCAGTCAGTAAGATGCAGCAGACGGGATCATACCAGTTCCATGCCTTGGTCTTAAGAGGCCTTGTGTGATTCGCTTATCTTCTGGAACCCTCCCCAGGCCAGTCTGCTGGATGAAAAAGGACAGCAGAGCTCAGCTGATTAAACTAAGGCCATCCTAGATTGGCCAGCCCCCAGCCAACTGGAGAGCTGACCACTGAGCCCAGTCTAATCAGAACTACCCAGTTGAGACCAATCCAAATTGACAGCCAACGGAATTGTGAGTTATACAGTTGTTTTTTAAGCCACTATACTTTACAGTGGTTTGTTCCCACTAACTCACTCTAGCAAAATATACTAATGTTTGAGGCCCATCCTTGTGGAATTGGATGAACTGGTCTGAGATGGATCTTAGGCACAGTATATTTTTAAAGCTCTAGATGATTCTCATATGCACCCAGTGTTGAAAACCAACAATCTAGATGAAGACACTTAATGCTTCATGGGCTGGGTTATAGGTTGAGTTAGACCAAGGGTTAACCCAATGGGACTCCTTTGAAGCTTGTGGATATCTCAATGTTTTCCCTTAAGTTATTGGGGTGTAGGTGGTATTTGATTACATAAGTTCTTTAGTGGTGATTTGTGAGATTTTGGTACATCCATCACCCAAGCGGTATACACTGCACTGTATTTGTAGCTTTTATAACTTGTCCCCCTCCCACTCTTCCCCCACCAAGTCCCCAAAGTCCATTCTTTGTATCATTCTTATGCCTTTGCATCCTCATATCTTAGCTCCCACATATCAGTGAGAACATACAATATTTGGTTTTCCGTTCTGAGTTACCTCACTTAGAATAATAGTCTCTAATCTCAGACATCTAAATTTAAAATGAATAAAAAGGCTGGGTGAGAATCCCAGCACTTTGGGAGGCCAAGTGGGGCAGATCACTTGAGGTCAGAGGTTCAAGATCAGCCTGGCCAACATGGTGAAACTCCATCTGTACTAAAATAAAATAAAAATTAAGCTGAGTGCACGCCTGTAATCCTGGCTACTTGGAGACTGAGATGGTGGGAGGATTGCTTGAACCCAGGAGGCAGAGGTTGCAGTGTGCCATTCATTGTGACACTAAACTCCAGGCCGGGTGACAGAGTGAGACTCTATCTCGGAAAATAAAATAAAATAAAATGAATAAAGAAACTCATTAACTTAGAGAAAATAATAAGCCAAGATATAATCTGTACAAAAACGTTAATATTTTTTTAAATCTAGGGCAAATGCAAAGATGTAAGGGACTTTTGATAAAAACCATGTTTAACCTTGACCTTGTACAGGTGGAGAAAGGGAAGCCCAGAGGGTTTCAGTGACTTGCTCAAATCCATACAACTAATTTGTGGCAGGGTTTAGATTCCGTATGAGGCCTTATTATTTTTTTTTTGTCTGTTTTTCTTGATTCTTCCATAGGGTGACAATAAAACGACCCTTCTTTTGACTTACCATATGTGACCTCATATAGAATCTGTGCAAAGTCTAGGACAGGCTATCTCTAAAGTGTTAACAGGTTAAGGAAAAGGTAGTTTTTATGGAGCATCTCTCCTCTTCTGTGATTTATAACAAGGATGACAGGTGTGTTGATTAAGATGTGTTTTGCCTACTGTCAGAGATAGAAATTGTAGTCTCACTAAGAAGAGCAACTTTACTTTTTTTTTTTTTTTAATGAAACCACAATGGGATGCGATAGGGGGAAGAGTGCTTAATTTCTTTCATGAAAAGAGAAAGAAGGCAACTGAGCCATAGTCAATGAATTAAAGCAGTTTATTTAACATTAATTGCAGAATTTACAGCACTACCATTTAATGATAGGAATAAAAATAGAAAGAATCCAGTGTAAGCGATGTCACAGACAAAACATTGGGGTAGGAAATGAGCGAAATTGAAAATGCAATTAACATTCAAAGAAATCTTGCAAAAGGACTGGGAGCTTATCGGGGGTGGGCATCCCCTTGATGATGAAGTGTGATCCTCATCCGCACCAGGATTTCAGGGCAGCCACCGAACACATACCCTGTTGACTGTCCCTGGAGAGTCTTTCAGCACAGTCTGACTTAACATGTTTGAGATGGGGCAAAATCTGGAATATGCTTTGGAAATAAAGCTCAGGGTGAAAAGACAGTAAGAGAGTGGATTTGTGTGTGGGTTTTCTTTTTCAAAACAGAAGGGTGTGCAAATTTTAGGGGTGTGTTTTCCTAATTTTAAACATGAGAGGTGATGTCAAGGGGATCAACTGAAAAGAATAGTTTAAAGTTTTCTCCTATGATTTTCTGTGAAAGCAGGAAGATGAAATAAGAGGCGTACATGTGACTCTGATCTCTTGTCCTTTTGGAATCTGGAAAGAGACCTGTAAAAGGTAGTTGGGTTTCTACTAAAGGTCCGAGTTTCTAGAATAGCTTCCTAGAAGGCAGGTGGCAGAGTACGGTCTTTGAGCATACGGTCAAAGGAGGCTCACACTCTATAGCCATTTTCCCATAAGTTAATTAATGGGTCCCATTTTAAACTTTAAAACTTTAAACAGACCTGGGACAAATTCTTCTCTCTTTACCTCCTCCTTTCTTCCCTCATTAAAGTCACCTTTCAATACCATCAAGCAGTCAACAGTATAAAAGAGAGGATGCAAATCCTGCAGGCCAGCAGGTAAAACTTAAAGGTATTTTAAATAGCAAAAGTAAACACATCTGAGGCCAGTGCCTAAAGTGAGAAAAGAGCCAGGACTGACTTGGATTCTGAGAACAAAACTCGATGGAAGAAAAGACACTGAAACTTGTTTTCACTCACTTTGGTAGAAGGATAGTTTCTCTTGTAATAATTCACTGACCAAGGAAAGATCTACAGTACCTGTGTTAATAAAGTAGTATCTTGGTGGAAATGTTTGAATAGAAAGAATGAAAAAAAATGGACAGGCTCTTTCTGGTTCAGGATAACACTTTCTAAGAAATGCAAAGGATGAAGAAGAAAACTAATTGAAATGCTGGTCAATCCCTAATTATCTTTTTTCATAAAGCTCTTTGGCATCCTAGACCTGGGGAGAAAAGATTGAACTGCTCTTGGATTGAGGGAAGATTAGGTGACTGGAGATATGAATTAGAAGAGAAACCAACACCAAGAATTTGCCTGCATCATCTCAGTCCCTGCATCTAAACTTCAGTGGTTATTTATCAAGTTATCAATGTGACGCTTGTGTTTTTATTTCAGAAATTTCAGTATGCAAGGTGTTTTCCAAACTTTCATGGTAAGAAGTCTGCTGGCACCACTTGGACTTGTGTAACACAAAAAAGTGTAGTAAAGAAAGGAAATAATATCCTACCTTCAAGGAAGTATCTGTTAGTGATATGACTACCCATCCAATTGCCAGATAGTCTTTGGATTCTTTTCTTCCCGATGGCAGGATCCTTATCATAATTTGAAAAAACTGTCCTAGAGAGTAAGCTGACTCTTAAGCTAAAGGCCAAATTGGACCAAAGCAAAGGATATAGGGGGGAAAAAAACCACAAACTCTACAACTTTTTGAATAGGACTTTCAAGCAGAGATAAAGTAGGCATGGATGAGCCATGTTTTTGGCTGGGGCAATAGCTGTGGTTCAGCCAGTCCCCGAAGACAGAACAACAGCACAGGCAATGTGCACTGCCCCTGCCCCCTGAGATGGGAGCAAGGCACAGGGAGATAGTGGGGTTTCCTTTTCTCTCTTGTATTTTTCAGATCAGAGAATTGAGAATAACTAAAATATAACCTAGAAACAAAACAATAGAAAACCCCATTCCATACCTTGCTTTGTTTTCTAAATAAGCATCTCCAAAAGGTATAGATGGGATAGCTAAACAAGATGCACGGGCTGGTGGGAAGGAGACTTCTGATCTGGAGGAGCCCCACTGAATGAGAGGACCTGGACCCTTTGCAACCCCAGGATGAAGGAAGAAGCCTTCAGTAATGTCCCAGGTGAAGTCACCAGATGGGCTGCAACAGCCTTGACTGGGTAGAGTGCAAGGTGGGGAAAGGTGAGTGCCTGGTGAGCACCAGAAGATTCAAGGTTACTATTTTCTTTTTCTTGCCTTTCATGTATGAATTGGAGTCTGCCTTCGTGATGGCACATGCTCAAGACCAGGGGATTGCAGGGAAGTGTTGGCGTCCAGAGAGAGAGAGGTTAGAGAGTTTTGGCCCATTTCTCTTTAAAGCTGACAGACATAGAGGTCTCTTCCAGTACCAAAACCTACCTTCCAGCCCATGATCTGCCTTTTCCCAGGCCAGGCCCATGTTTCCCCAAGAGGGCAGAGAGGAAAACCAGGCCAAGCTGAGGTAATTTCGTAGTTTTGTGTCTCTAAGGAAAAGGACATCCACTGGCACAAAGCATTGAGTAAAAACCCTTTAATAACAAAATAACATTCACCATGTATCTACTTCAGTTGTCTGGAAAACTCAGCTTACACTTGATTCAACATACCACTTTCCACAATGTTAAAAAAAAAAGGACATAAAATGGCATAACAAAATATACCTTGGATTTCATAAGACAAGTCTTATTGGCAAAGTGTAACGAGCCAGACCCATGCATTGCCTGTGATAAAAAAAAAAGCTGGGGGTGGGGACTGGGCACACTCGTGTCTCAAACACCCCTCTGTTTTCTTTGGATCAAAAATGCATTTGAACTTGGTAGATTCTACAATATCTGCATTAAGAGGAACAGTTTGTGGGTTTGTGGGTGTCAGGAAAACTTTGCTGAAACAAATATCAATTTTATTGTGGGAGAACACATAAAGCTTTCTGGAAGATTAAACACTAGTACAATTATCAACTGTCTTACAGAAGCCGATTTTAAAAATTCTTGTATCTGTTCCCATCTTCGGCAGATTAATAAGGTAAAAAATAAAAAGACTACATATCAAAGCTTACATTACCACAATCTACTTCATAAGGCCAAATAAAAATCTGTTTCTTTGTATTATTCATGACAGCATGTTCCCGATATATCCTCACTGACAGATTATATGAATGCTGTACTGTCAGTGATTTTCAATATTTTGCATAGCAGACTGCTGCTTTTCCACCAGGGTTTCCTAGGCTGCATGCTCCTATGCAAAATAAAGTGTGCTTGGCAGTTGATTTGGCTTTATGTCAAGCATTTTGGTTTGGGAAATATGAAACTTGGGACTGGGTCTCCAAACCCAAGTATAAGAAAGAACACATTTCCCCAGTTCCCTGCAACTGAAAAATACATTTGACATATAGAGGCCTCAGATAACTGGAGGATTTAAGGAAGATGGTTTTCCTAAAGTGGGTTTCAAAACTTCTTCTTACAGTCCCTTGTAGAAGGTAGATGGAACATTGTCGGGTAGGTGAAAATTAAGTTAGAGTCACCTCCGAGTCTAGGGAGGGAGAGCCATGGTAGTTGCACATGTGAAGTTTTGGGAAATGGCTGCGTATTTTTGTCCAAATCACTGGAACAGTTGGTGGGAATGTCCAGGAGAGTGGACAAAAAAGCCAGAGAAGAATGCCATTTGAGATTCTACTGGGAACTGACCTGGTGACAAAATACTAGAAGAAACCACACACAGTCAAAAATAGCCATTCCCAAGTAGAGATCAAGGAGGGCCAGAGCTGGATTATTTGCACCTCCATATACAGGGCCAGTTAGGTCTAAGTTCATGAGCATAAAGCCAAAATAACTCCTTTTAGTGGAAATTAAATATGCAAAGGTGAGTTTTTCAATACTTGCTTTCAAACCCCTCTCTGGTATGGTGATATATCTGGGTTATGAGGATCCAAATTTGTGGAATGCAAGTTGGTTAACTCAAAAATTTGGAATAACCTTTCTCATTATAAAATCTGAACCCAATTCAATGTGACTCATTTTCAGATCCCAACAGATGTAAAGGGTATTTTCGAGGTGAGACATCTCCCAATAAAACCAATATTACCACTGTCTGGGGCTGAACTGTGTACATTTTCACAGTTTAATGTATACACAACTGTTCCACAACTGCTAACAAACGATAGGCGCCCATGCATGAATCAAGTCCACTGAACCAAAGGGAAGATCTAGCTCAAAAGGAAAAATGTTGCTATTAAGACCACAATGCATCACACTGCTAAATTTTTAGCCTCATGCATAAAATTATAGCACTGATTGGCAGTTGCTAATTATAATACTACACTGTTAACACAGAACAATTAATTGTTCAGACCAAGTAGCACAAATGTAGAAAATAATTATTCTTTTCAACAGAGCAAATGAACACAGATTGTTTCTTCAGCAAAATATGAAACTGTAAACTTTGGGCTCATTCTGCAACTTTCCCCAATCCAGCATAAACAAAATCCAAAGGGGGGGAAAAAAACATACATATTTCTTTTTAAGCGCACCTTTTTCGTCTATTACAAAAGCACAACCTAAAACGTATAAAGCTTTTTTTTTCTTTTTTCTTTTTTTAAATCACAGTTACCAAAAGAAACAGTGAATAATTTATTACATACGCTATAATAACATTACTCTAAACACTATTGTCTATGAGGTATATCTGAGAAAATTCGGTAAGGAATTGCGCGGTCTGCATTGCCAACGTGCCCGGGTTCATAGTAAAGCTTTGGAACCGTGAAGAACTAGAAAAAAGGGAAGAACGAGGGAGGCAGAGGAGGAGACATAGAGAAAGAACCTTTGGTATTAGTACAAATCTTGTTCTTTGCAGGGTTGCATTGCAAAGCACCACAGTACAATAAGCCCACCAACTGACTGTATGGAGGCCCAGTTGAAGCTGAGGTATTCACAGGAAGAATTAAAAAAAGCACAGAGAGGTCCAGACTGGCTAAATCGTTGCTTTGGTTCAAGCAAGGCACTCGTCCCGTGGTTATGTCACACTTTGCAAGTGAAGCATGAGGCTGGGGGGATTGCTGAGGAGGTGTCTGCCAAGTGGGGATGTTTTCTGTGTTCAGGCTGCCATGGCTCTTCCTAGATGCTCTCTCGTATAGGTGTGGCAGTAGGAAGATTGGGGAAGGTGATGTTCGCTTATAGGGGAACTCTGCTGCTCAGTGAATCAAGTCATTTTTGCTCTGTCTCCCAGGGATTCTGAGAGTTCTATTTCCAATAGGAATTTGGGAAGAAAACCAAAGCAATGTGTTCTTTGGAAGGAAGGCCTTACAGCTCTGCCTTGTATTGGGAGAAGATGGGGCTTTGAGCTTGTTTGGACAGGAGGGAACTTTCACATCAGGTGGCACTTGAAAACTTCAGAAAGAGGGTAACAGTGTTTCCTATAGTTTGTCAATCTGTCATCTATATTCCCCTACTAGCTATGCTTTGTTGAGGCATGGAACTGATGAGTTGATTGGTCTTTTCCTCTCTTTGCTTCTTTGTCTAAACGGTCTCTTTAAAAGCTCAAAGATAACTACATTATGTGAAATGCAAAAGAGTAGCACTCAAAAAGAGCTATATGGACTAGAGGTGGATCTTTGCATGTCTCTAAAACCCATTTGGTCAAAAGCTAAGAGACAGATTCATTGGCTAACACACAAATCATGTTGATGAATGGATCTTAATAGTGATTTAATCATTTAATGGAATCTAAAGAAACTTGAAGAAGACCAATTAATTTCATGAGTAAGAAGGAAAGAGAGAAGCAACTTTAAGTAGCCATTTCTTAAACTGGCATATCAATTCCTCTGTAATTTTGGGGTTATTTTTCATTTACCATGAACTACCCTTTGTTATCAAATGATGTAAGGCTTAAACTTCTCTCATAAATACAGAGTTGCTTACAAATGAAATGTCAACACCTATAACCGAAAAGGAAAAGGCTGAAGAGCTTAAATGTCACATGTGCCAGTGGTGTTCAAATTCCCTTTCTTGATAAATACTGACTTTTTTTTTTTTTTTTTTTTGAGACGGAGTTTTGCTCTTGTTACCCAGGCTGGAGTGCAGTGGCGCGATCTCGGCTCACCGCAACCTCTGCCTCCTGGGTTCAGGCAATTCTCCTGCCTCAGCCTCCCAAGTAGCTGGGATTACAGGCACGCGCCACCGTGCCCAGCTAATTTTTTGTATTTTTAGTAGAGACGGGGTTTCACCATGTTGACCAGGATGGTCTCGATCTCTTGACCTCGTGATCCACCCGCCTCGGCCTCCCAAAGTGCTGGGATTACAGGCGTGAGCCACCGCGCCCGGCCAATACTGACTTTAAAATACCCATAATAATCAAATCCAACAAGCCAAGAATGAACTTTCTTCTCCCTCTGAATTAAAAACTTATTTATACAATGCTTTGTAATGGAGAATTTCAAAAGTGATCACACTGTTGGAATCAACATGTATTTCCTAGGGCAAAAAGTCTTTGTATTGCAAGGCAGGCCACCTTCATGAAGCCACTGATCATATGTGACTATGTTGAGATACTAATGGGACACTGAAAATGCTTGTCACTATTGTTACAGGCTGAAAATGTTAAGAGATAAAAACTCCAGTCCCTGTTCATTGCTAAAGGATTGCCACTGTTCTATTTGTCCATGTGGGACCCGTCTCATGCATAGGCAGCACTGCACAATAGGTGGAGTGCTGGGGCAGGAACCGGGAGGCGTGTTTGGCTTTCACTCTCAAGAGTTATTTGATTCAGATAACTATTTCATTCCTCCAGGCCACCGGGGCTTGGACTAAATGATTCCTAGGGTCTCTTCCATCTCAACGACTCAATGGTCAGAGCTTCTGAGATTCAATAACTGGCAATCTTCACTGTGATAGCTCCCAGCAGGGACAGAGGCCATGGCTAGGACTGAAGGCCATTTCCAACCAGTTTCCTTCCCCAATTTGGAATCAGAATTTAAGGAATCCAATTACAGCAGCATCTGAACTCACATCCTGAACATGCGGAGGGGACAGCAAACAAATAAGACAAAACACAGAAAATATCCCTTTCCAAATTAGCAGCCGCCGTCATATAGATAATTATTTCTTTGGGGTATCTGAGCTGTGGCTGTACATACCATATGTCAGAGAAAATCCTTCAAATTATAAAAGAGCACAAGCAAAATGCAGACCGCACAGAGAAAGAAATCTTTGGTATCTTTGGTGTCATCAACACGATTAAAATTACAAATGGAAAAAGTCAGTGAGGTAGCCTTCTTTGGTTCTCACTAGAAATAGAAAGTTTTTCCTTTTTTTTTTCTTTTTTCTGCTTTTTTTTTTTTTTCCTTTTTTGTTTTGTTGCTTTACATACACACAGAGTTCATTCTTGGAAGCAGCTAGTGTAAGGGTTTCTCTCTTTTTGCTTAACGATTTTTATTTATTTATTTATTTTTCCAGTTTCTGTATAGAAGCCCCGAAATCCAGGCTGGTGAAGCAGGGTCTCGGCTTACGTTTTCTGAATGCACAGGTTCAGGTTGAATAGTCATTGCTTGTCCACAAAATTTGCTCTGTTGTTCTGACAGCAAACAAACTGCAGTGCTCTCTGTTGTTTTAAATAAAAAATATAAACTATATAGTGCACCTTTCACAGATGCTGAATAAGTTAAATAAATAAGTTACAATATGAAGGCTCTGAGGGCCACAATAATTAAGACGTGAAGTTCACCTGGTACCAGGTGGGGCTGCGAACTTAAGTTAAATAATTTAATAATTGTTACTTAGATTATTTTAAAAGCTAATTTAAGAGGGAAGAATATCCCAAATTCTCTTTGTGTAACCTGTATTTCTTCCCTGTCTGTAACAGAATTTCACTGCTTTATAAAGCAAACTAAACTTCAAGAGTATTCCAAGCAGAATTTTGCATCTCTGATGCACCATCGGTCTAGGTTTTGATAAATAAGCACAAGGACTAAAATCACACTAAGAGAGGACGGTCAAATAATTACCCAAATCCTATACATTTATGTACTAGAAACTAATTTAAATAAGTTAATTACATTAATGATACTTAGATTGCTGGGTCATAACCCAAAGAGTCAAGATAAAAAACATTCTGTGGGGCGGGGTGGGGGGTGTCTTCATTTTTTGACTGACAACATGTATAACCTCTTTTGATAGTTTAAATAAAAATAGAGCAGGAAATTATAACCTCTGAAGCTTTCTCATGTTAAAGACCACTTTGATGTGATAAGCATGAAAAATATCACCACTCCTAACTAGCTAATGCAGCCTCCCCAGGACCGCAGTACCACCGTCCACTGTCTCAACCCTGGAAACCAGAGCCCACTGTCTCCCCATTGGTTTGCGCTTGACTTTACTATTTTTTCTTTTCTTTTTTTTTCCTTTTTGCCCTTTTCCAGGTCTTTGGATTTAGCTATAGTTATGAAAGATCCAGAATAAAGCTATTTAACCGAAGTCATCAAGCATAGGTGTCATCTTAACACTGATGATTAAATAATATAAAAGGGTTTTTAAAAGTGAAGTTTATCTTGGATGGGCCCAAATGAAATTAATTCCAAGTGTACAAGATGAAGATGCTGGGATACTTTTGTTTTCCCTGCACTTTGGTTTTCAATGTTACAATAAATAATGAAAACAATGTACATTGTAAAAGTACCACATACATGTTAAATGATGATTTAAAATCTATTTATTGTAACAGATTACAGTTTATATGTATGAAGCATGTCTGCACACACTTGCATGTACACAGTCTAGACACCTATAGGTAACGTGTATTGTTGTAAAGACGTCTATGAGAATACATGTTAAAATATGTATCTAAATTTGTATACATCCAAGCCGGCAGACTGTATAAGCTTCAGGCAGACTTATCTGCCAAGGTTTATGCAATGTGAAATGCCTGCTGCTAAAAATGGAGCAGAGTCGAAGACTTCCAAAGGATGAACAAACTGGTAACAATGTGTTTTTTTCTTATACACATTTTCTTCACTAAAAAATGTATTAGCTGGTTAATTCCAAACAACTAACTCCAAAACCTCTAAGGAAAGCTTGGGCTCTACCAATAACTGTTTCAGGCTGTCAGTCATTTTAGTATCTGAGAATAAGGAGCCTCGTTTAAGGTCCTGTGTGATTCACACAACAGCCCATCAGCCTCAATGGTAAGTTCTGGATCTACCTATGTGAGGTCCTATATATTTTAATAATGACTTTTATATTTTATAAGTATTCTGAGACTTTCTAAAACAGATAAACCCTCTCCTCTTTCCCTCCCTCACCTTGGAAACAAACAAATCATTGATAGAAAATAGGCCTTGAGACATCCATATTTAAAGCCAACATCGTTATCCTGTAAGGCTTATACAACCAACTGGGGTGCTACTCTTTATTCAGTAAGGATTTTTATGGCCTTATTTTAAAATTAGAATCTCCTGTTGTTTCAGAGGTGACTTGTCTTAGCTAAAGATACAAAATTACTAATCTATCAAGTTTGGCAGATAGATATCAGAAATTTATAGGTATATCAGCTCTATCCCTTCTTCTACCATTTCCACTTACTCTTCCTGGTTAGGCTAAGAAGTCCAAGTCACATGGTATCAGCAACAACAAAAACAAAAAGTCAGCTCTAACCTGTTATGAATCTAGACGGTTATCGCCAAGGTAGTTGTGTCTGGACCTTGTGGTCAACCTCACCACATGTATCATTTTTTTCTCCACTTTTTGATAGAGTCCATTATTCTTCAACAACATTGCAAACAGGGTTTTTCTTCTTAGATTTTAAAATATCCAACTATTCAAACTCCTGAAAATCCGAGTTCACTACAAAGGCATACTGTCATGACACTTTGGTAATGATAATCAAACAGACATTCCTATAATCCTACAAACATTTTCAAAAGTGGGGAAGTTTCCCCCTCTACCCAGATAACAGTGATTTTAAAATCTGCTCAACTTTAATTTACTGGCACTAGTAGGTGGATGCCCAGTATAGACAAGGGAAAATAACTGATTATCTAAAAAGTATTTATTTTTGGCTTTGAAATATGTTGGTTGACTTAGCAAAGTGTGTGTGTGTGTGTGTGTGTGTGTGTGTGCGTGCGTGTGTGTGTATCAGATTGACATTCCAAATTTTTATTTTATTTTAGCTTGAATTGAAAATTATTTTGGACTTCCTAAAGCCTATAACTGCCAAGAGCCTGCAGGCAGAAAAGGCAGCTTAGAGGCAATTCTTTCTGGATTTCTCCAGAGGAAGTGCCATGTTTCCAGACTCAACTAGCCTGTACCTTTATACACGGTGCAAGCTAAACACTTCTTTTACATTTTTGGAAAAGCTTTTAAATATTGGTGTTGAGTTTTTATTTGTTGTTACTGTTTCCTTTTAAAAAAGAAATGTACTGTCTCTTTTTATTATTATTATTATTTCCTGGAATGAAATAACTACATCCCCAGTACCAAAAATCACACTAAAACAGAAACAATGCAAGCCTATTTGTATAAAGGAATGAAGGAAATTACTTTTCCACTCAATTTCTGTGAGAGTTTGGATTTCTGTTGCCTCAAGAATGTGAAATCTGGTTAACTGTTCCTTCACACCATCCCTTTTGCTGATGGCTGAGGAATGCCTGGAATTTTCCGTGGATTGAGGTAATGGATCCTAAACTATAACCAAATCCAAATGAGTATTTTCTCTGAAATTATTAACTTAAAATAAAATGTACAAATCCTTGAGTAAACTCACTGGGTTAAATTATATTACCTTTCAATATAGCATCTTTTTCTGTTAGATTTCTAACAAATTGAAATTCTACTGGGCTTAAAATTTTGACACATAACTGTATAGATACACACATATATTTATATATGTATGTAAATAATTTTTTAAAAGCAAGCACTTCTCTCTGGTATGACATTATCTGGTATGAGACATTTATTAAAGCTCCTGGGGAAAAATTATTGCCTTTTTTAAAAAAAAAATATTATGACATGTTCTTCTGATGACCAGAGGACTGGTTTGACCAGTGTTGAAATATCAGATCACAAAGGCAGCCTCTATTGGTCTAGATATCTTCAGAGGATGCCGGAGACCCAAATGCTGAGATTAGAGTGTCAAAGAATCACTAACCAAATCAAGCAGGCTCCATTCCTCAATCCAGTCTGGAAAAGAGCAACCATTTCCATTGGCTACATGTTACAGGACTTGTTTAGAAATACTCAAGTTGAAATCAACCCACCTGGGAACATTCCTCTGTTGAAATATGCTCTTTTCTTAGTCCTTTGACAAAGGAAACATGGAGGATGAGCAAGGGACAAAGGGACACAAGGGAAAAGCCAAGGAACAATCTCCCAGGCAGGATGAATTATAAAAATTGTGAAGAGTTCTGTTCTCTCACGGCCCCTGCACAGGGAGACCCACATAGCAAGAATGAGGAGGTGGCACAAAGAACAACAATGGGGCTCCGCTGGGGCAGGACTCTGGGAGTCTCCCCAAAATCTGCTTCATATTTTCTCTCCAGGATTGAGACACTCTCCCCCACCCCACCCAACACCACTGCCCACCCCAGTGCCAGCTGTGGTTGCACATAGGCTTGTCAAAATACAAATTGGTAATTACCACCCTGAGGAAATCTATCAACCCATTGCAACAGAAGCTGGACTTCCCCTATGAGAAGTCCCTTTGGTGGATCTGCTCACCGAGGGGGTCTGGCACACCTAGATGGGACAGGGCAGCAACTGGAGAACAGATTTCTGGGATGGCCTCATATTCTATAACTGGTGAAAATGGATCAGTGAGCCTTCCCAGCAGTTACAGAAGATGAGCACCCCAATGTCAGGGCCCAGTTCTGGGCCGAGTCTGGCGGATGTACCTCACTCACCACCTTGTCAAGGCTGAGGCATAGAATAGAGATGACTCCGAATACAAATAAAACTCATTTACACCATGGATCCATTTATCAACAGGTTAAATGCTGAAATGCTTGATCTTGACTTTAAACCTTTCCCAGAAACTTCCATAGAGATCTGAATACTTCAAATCATCCACAGTGGCAAATTAACTCTGGAATGGCATGAGAAATGAGAAAAATTCTGAACCGAATACTTAACAAATGAGGCAACTGGACAAAAACAAGACATGAATTTGGACAGCAATAATTTTGGGTTATCACCAATGTCAAGTTGATCTATATACGTATTTATATATTATATATATCTTTCTTTAGAAATGCAACTTTACAGCTGATTTTTAAAAAGCTAATAGAAAAGTAGAAACTGGCAATTATTTTTACATGTTTCCCCCCACCCCCAAATGAAGCCCTGTTAGGATGTAGTAATCATGTGAAAACGAGGCTGTAAATTCCTCTATAAACTCTTTGGTTCTGTGGCTCAGGAGAGGATGCATCACCAAGACCCCTATCCCTGACCCTTACTCCCTTTCCCTCCCCTGATGATGAGACTCTGAACATAGAAGGAACCAAGTCTAAGGGTTAAGCAAAGAACATTCAAGTGATAATGTTATTCCCTACTCTCTGCTGAGCAGAGAGACAAGAACTGTTCAATATCCCAACATCTTAAACTTGGAGTGCATGGAAACTTCTGAGAGATTCCATGTGGGGGTAAAAAGCTATAAAACAAAATTAAAGGGAAACAATAAAATCAAACAAATGGCCCTTTCCTTTTGTTGCTCAGAGAAACATAATTGATTACCTTTATACAGATCAATGGCGCTATTAGTATTTTAGCCAGGCAAGAGGAGATAATGAACTGAAACAAAAGGTGTGAGAAATCCTCATCTTTGGTATTGTAGCTGTTGAGGTTTCTGTTGCTCTGTTCCGTGTTCTTTTGAAAAACTGCATAGGCACAAATTAAAGACAATCTTCAACTTTAAGATTACCGTGTGAGTTGTCAAATGAAGCAGCAGCCACTGAGGCTCTTCCTTATTTCTATCTTTGTCTCAACCCTTTCTTTAAAATCTGCTTCCAAAAAATGTCCCAAGAGGTCTGTTTGAACAATGTGTCTCGCTGTTTCTTTTTGTTTTTGTTTTTTTCTGGCGTGCTTCCTTCTTATTGGTGGTGATTTCCATTGATTTACAGATTTATTTATTCATTTTTAATGGGACAGTTTTGTTTGTTGCAGAAGTAGGTGCAGAAAAAGTTTCTTTGGTTTCGATTAAATAATTCATAAAAAAGTTCAGTCTCAAGTGTCTGTAAAGAATCATTGCAGCGTTTGGCTTGCTTTGAACACCCCCATGGTGCCCATCTGGGGCCATTCACTGGTAAATATGCACATTGTGACCTTCGCAATCTCCCAGAGTTCTGTAGGCGCTCTTCCACTTGCTATGGGAAGGTGACAGCTGGCATGGCAAAGCCACTCCACTGGGTGGCTTGGCTAACGTCTTTGGCGTAGCTGGTCCGCTCAGCCCGATGGTGCGCCAAATGCAAGAGCTGAATGCCATTCGGAGTTGCAGAGGTTTTCTGATTTCTAAAAGTAATCACAGTATTTTTAGGCTAGAAAATGACAAGTCATAAATGTCTTTGGTTTGCAGTATTCTGCTTCTTTGGTGTGCTGTGTTTTCTCCAGATTTATTCAGCTGTTTTGCAAGGATGATTCAACAACAGAAGAGACTTAGGACTAGATGACAGTCATGAGTAACATGTATGGAGGTTTGATTGATTTTTTTTCTTGCTAGAAAACACAGAAAACATCCCTACTAATGGTATAGATGAGGAAAAACCCCAAATCAGAAAGAGTGAGAATGGATTACGTGGTGGTCATAATGCACAGTAGGAGGGACCAGATGACTGATCGACCATGAAGGACATATTAATGATCTAAAAAAATCTAGATCTTTTAAAATGCTGCATTTGCTCCATGTACCATGACAGTTAAATTGGCCTCCTGAGTGTGCGTCTGCATTACGTACAACAGAATTTGTAGCAAACTGCAATGTGCTTGAAGCCATATTCTCATCAATTCCCTAATGACTTCACAACAGGTATCTTGAAAACCGAGATGCGGTGAACCCAGAACCTTTCTTACTTCTGTTTATCTTTGTTGTGCTTGATACTTTGAGCTCAAGTGAACTGATTGGTTTTTTGACGGATCCAAGACCATATGAGATTTTCAGGAGGTAAAGAAAAAAAAAATTGTAAGCTGGATCAACTTGAAGCTTTCTAAATCATTCAATGAAAAGATGTCTGAGTTGGAAAAACAGGTCCTTGGATTGTTTTCCTAATGTCCATATTTAAAACTTGTGCTCAGTAACTACCATTCTGATGTTTTTTACGTTATGGCTGTGAACTTGGAAATACTGTGGTATGATGAGGCTAAGCACGTGGAAAGCAAATGAGGTCATTCTTGTTGCTAGATTCTTCTCTTATTGTTGCATCTTGGAAGCCTAAACTCAGAGTATTTACATAGGCCAAATTCCCATTGTTACTCATAGGAACTGACTGCAAGAAACTGACAGGACCCGAAGAGGGACGGATGACATTTTAAGCAATCCTGAGCTTGGGTGACACCATACTGGAATTAACTCACTTCAGGAAGGCCCCATTTGGGTTTCTGGGATGCTTAGCATGCTCAGAGGACAGTGTCTGGTTCTAAGAGATTAATTTTTCGGCTTGCACTTGGACTCCATAGCCATTAAAAACAAAAAACACCTGGCCTATGATTACAGCTAGAATAGAAGTTTCTTTGCAAGAGAATTGTGCTTTCAAATCACCAGTGAAGGGCCCCAGCTAGGAATCCGGTGTCTTTTTCCTTTGTTTTCTTTTGGTATCTGTTGTCCTCATTTGGAGGTGACTTGTGCCCAAGTGAGAGTCCTTCCATCATGCTTTGGTACACGTGCTGGAGGTGGACGAGGAGCCCCCGGTGCTCAGATCATCTTGCCACTTCTCCAGGCTGCGGCGCCTGGCATTCATGAAGAAGTTGCTGACGGTCGTGAGCTCCAGGCCCAGCTGCTGGGAAATGGTTATCTGCATCTCCTTTGACGGGCGTTTGTTCTCCTTGAAGATGGCGAAGAGTGTTCGGCGTTGGAGGTCAGTGAACACCAGGCGGGATTTCTTCTGGGAATTGTTCCTGTCTTTGTTTGGTTCTTGCTCTTTGCGTTTGCACGCTTGAAGGGAAAGAGAAGAAGGAGAAGAGTCAGTGGGCTCACCTGAGGTGATCCATGGAAAACATTGACAAAGCTGTACAGAGAGATGTAAACCGTTAAACTTTATTGTGCAAACTGCCCAGCTGTCAATAACCAACCTCTCCCGTCATCCCGGGGTGATGGAAGGCATCCGTGAGTGAGTGAGTGGGGGATGGGAGAAGGGAGAAAGCGGCAGGGCTGTTTCACATAGTCCGGTTTTGAACTAACTGCACTTGTCTTTCCCTTGCTCCAGGATATCCTTGAAACTCTTTATCTCTGAAATCAGGTGCTGTGAAAGCAGGGAGGACTCCAGACCCCAGGGTGGGGGAAGCTCCTCTTTTGCATTCAACCTCTCGAATTGTTTACAGCTGACTTGAAATTACCTTTTGGAGTCAAAACATAAAAGTGCATAGTTTTTCAAAATCAAAGCTTCTACCCACATGACTCTAAAAATTGTTAACAGAAGGAAATTAGAAGTGAATGATGGTATCATCCCAACCCAAATTCCTTTCATCCAGACTTTTGAAAAATTAGAACAAAACCAAACAGAAGACCAAGGGAGGGAAAGACTATAGATAAATTGGTTTAGCCAATTCTCATTTGGCTAGTTTGAAATTGGAAGCCAGTATAAGATGACCGGGGATAAGGGTGGGGAAAGAAGCCCAACGTTACAATAGGACTTCAGGCTTGTAGATATGTCAGTCAGTATATGCAGAGTCTCTGATTTAGCAGAAATGAGTATCCACGCCTGGGTTGACATATGCAGTCAAAGACATTATGTGACATGACCTCTCCCTTAGTCTAAAATTTTCTAGAAGGCAGCAACCAGGTTTCTGTAGTACTCCTGACTGCCTCTTTTTGGAGTGTTTGGGACAATGAGGACAAATGGCTTCTTCACTCTTTCAGGGAATCTGTACACTTCACAGACAGGTTCGATGTCTGAGAAAAGTGACCTGTAAAGGTTAAATAATACAGTATTACAAATCACAATGTTAAAACATGAGAATGTGTGTTAAAATCACTTGAAATGGCTGGGCGTGGTGGCTCACGCCTATAATCCAGCACTTTGGGAGGCAGAGGTGGGTGGATCACGAGGTTAGGAGTTTGAGACCAGCCTGGCCAACATGGTGAAACCCCGTCTCTACTAAAGATACAAAAAATTAGCCAGGTGTGGTGGCGTGCACCTGTAGTCCCAGCTACTTGGGAGGCTGAGTCAGGAGAATTGCTTGAACCCAGGAGGTGGAGGTTGCAGTGAGCCAACATCACACCATTGCACTCCAGCCTTGGCAACAGGGCAGGACTCTATCTCAAAAACAAGAACAACAACAACAAAAATAACAACAACAAAAAAACCCAAAACAACAACAACAAAATCACTTGAAATAAGTCGCAGCTCCCCCTAGGGTGTGGTGAGAGTGTGGTCTCAACAGAAAGAACTGGGGAAAGCCCAGGAAGGAGCACAGGCCCAGATGGGGCAGTCACTCTCAGAATCAATTCCACTGGATATTCTGGTAAGAGGTTGAGAATCCCTTTGCACTGGACCAACATTCTCTCAAGCCTGGCACCCAGTGTGCTGCTCAGATGATTTTCTATGCTTCTCAAAGCCCTGGCTTGTATATTTTGTTTCCCAGCCTTCAGTCACAGCATTTCCTACTCATTGAGTTCTGCAGGCAGCATCTCGTGTGGAGAGTCTGCTACAGTGTCTGAATGTTTATGTCCCCCCCAAAATTCATATGTTGCAATCCTAACACCCAAGGTGATGGTATTAAGAGGTGGAACCTTTGGGAGGTGATTGGGCCAAGAAGTTAGAGCCCTCAGATATAGGATGAGTGCCCTTATAAAATAATCCTGAGGGAGACCTCTTGCCTCTTCCACCATGGGAGGCCACAGTGAGAGAGTCTTCTCTATCAACCAGTACACAGACTATTGCCTGACACTGAATCGGCCAGCACCTTGATCCTGGACTTCCCAGCCTCCAGAACTGTGAGAAATAAACTTCTGTTGCTTATAAGCACTAAATTGTGGTATTTTGTTGTTGTGGTTGTTCCTGTAGCCTTACCACACAAAGACAGGATTTAACCTGAAGACAAACACTTAGGGGAAAGATATTTGGAAGCTGAATTTCCTACCTAACTGGCCACCCTCCCTGCCGGATGCTGTGTGCTATAAAGTAATATGAAGGAATCACTTCTGAAATAATCAAAATGCTCGGATACTCTCAAAGGGCAGGAAGAGGAGAGCCCCTATGGGAAAACTGCTAGGCTGTATCAGCTTTGCTAAACTCTTTCTTCTAGATTTTTCCTTCTCTCATTTCCAAAAGTATTCATATTGTCTTCAAAAATTAAACATACACACAACACATCCACATAAAAAGAATTTGTTTTCATCTTGAAACTCATTCTCTTGGGGCGTTTGGGCTTTCTCGGATGAGGAGTGCTTCCCCTGCAATGGGAGCTCAGAAAGAAAGGGCTAAGACTGCTCACTGCCATCCTTCTTCCAACAGCTTCCTGGTAATGATTTCTTCTTTGCTCATTCCTGTGAGGACTGCATACTTTTGTTGGATTCTGATGATTCCTGTGTGGCGGTAACATACAGAAATAGTCTTTGTAGAGTAACCTTGTTTTGAGGTCTACTCTCTCTTGCTCAATCTGAAGTCCCCTACAGAAGTGCTGCTAAACTTTAAGGTGCATAGGAATTATCTGGAGGGCTCATCAAAGTGCAGATTCTCATGCAGTCAGCCTGGACAGGGTCTGGGATTCTGCATTTCTCATGAGCACTCAGGTGATGCTGATGCTGCTGGTCCACATGCTTCGGTTTGAGTGGCATGGGTCTGCCTGATTTCCAGTCTCGGAGGAGCATGTTGCACAATGGAAAGCTCTGGATTCAAACCGGGGCTTCCCCACCTCCAAGACCTGGGGCCTTGCAAATTAACCTCTTGGTGCCTGTCTTCCCCATCTGAATAAGAAAATAAAAATGCTCAGTTCTAGAGAGGCTTAAGTGAGATAACAGGCACATCTTCACTTCACACTTTCCTTCCCATTGTATTACCCCAGTAACTCTGAGCTAGGCAAATCAGGTAAAATGATTTTCATTTTAAAAGGAAGTACATGGAGACCTTGGTGTAAGTGATGACACTGACACCACATCCCAGGTTTGCTGCAGACCCAGGGAAAGAAAGAATAAACCTTTCTCTTGTAAGGAATGGCACCCACACCCGACTACACATCAGAGGGGACCTCTTTGCAGGGCAGCCTCTGGGTCTCCACCCCTAGATATTCTGATTTTCATCATGTGGGACCAGGTTCTGGAATCTGTGCTTCTATAAACCTCTGCGGGCCCTTTTGAGATGTAGAAACCACTATACTTGCCCCTACTGCCACTGCAGGTTCCTGGACCACCATTCCTGCTGCTACCCCTGGGACAACTGGTACTAAGCCTTCATCTGGAGGATTCTGAACAAACAGTGATGCATGATAGTCTCCTGATAACAAAATCCAGGCAAATATCTTCTGCAAACATTGGCCAGAGTCTTCCGTCAATTCATGCTCCTTTGGATTAACCACATAGCTCTCAATTTTCATACTGATATTGATTATTCTTCAGATAATGCTGTCTTTGTGCTTTTAATAGGATGATGAGACAGTGTGGGCATATAGGTCTACATTGGCTTGTCAGATTATATTTTGTGTGAGATGTGTATATATATATATATATATAAAATTTTACACACACACACACACACCTAAGAGAAAAATGTTAAAGACAATATGAAGCAAACTGCACAGAAAGAACCGATCAATACATCCTGCCTATGCCTTCCCAGTAGCTTTCAGAATCCATCAGAAGCCACCAGATGCCACAGCAGCAAATGCAAAACTGTAGCTTGGAACCTAAAAGGGTATGGCAAGTCCAAAAGCCCCAAGTAATCAGGCAGTATGTCCTTATGTTACCCCGGGTTTTTATAGCCAGCAATTGGCAGCCATTGATTCTAAGAAAAGCAGTTGGTCAGGAGCTAAAGGAAAATAAAAACAGGAGGAAGAACACCTGCCTTGAAAATCTAAGAAAAAGTAGACAGATACAATGACATCTGGGAGCTGGTGTGAGGTTGTAACCTCAGCATCCTCAGACCCAGGCTGAGAAGCCAGGTGTGCCAGCAGGCACAAGCAGAGTGCAAATGACTTTGGTGCTGTTCAATTGCTACACTCTCTAGTCAACATGTGTCCATTTCTGAAAAGCCAGGGAAGTGCCAAGTAGCTCCCTCCAACCCAAGGATGCATTAGAAACCCAATGAAACAGCTGGTGTTTCAGTGACATTGATGGATTCAGTCTTGGCACAGTCGCATGCTGGTTAAGGTCTCCTGGACTCCAGCTGCTCAAAGCCAATTCTGCCATGGAAGGTGCAAGGTTAGCCCAACCCTGTCTAGACCGTTTGGATCTGTTTCTTCTCCTCTGGTTTTTTTTTTTAGGAGGAAAGCAGGGAGGGCATGCCAGAAGCTGATATGTCACTACCTGATGGGGAGGTGGGTGTAGACCCCGAAAGCCCTCAGCCGTTCTTGACCTCCCTCCTCTCACAGGGAAGCAGGTCCTATGTAAGACCATGTGGAAGGCCAAGAGCTTGCTTCCATTTTAAAGATGAAGAGAAGTCATTTGTTTACCTATAACAAGGCTACCTACGCAGATTATAGTACTTTCCTCCACTTTTTGAAAGAAATATTGACTCAGATTGGTCATGCTGGCTGTGTCCTGTGATCCCAGACCTGGTACTGGCAGGCATGCACACATCTGTGTATAATCTGTGATTAACAAGAAGGATGGCAGACAGCTACTGCCTAAAAATACAGGTTCCTTGGTAGACGAATTTTTCAAACGACTGTGTTTCCAGGGTAAAATAAGGGAAGCCCTGGCTTGGGGCACAAGCCCCCTCTGAGATCTTGGGATACCAACTTGCTTTTTCCCTGGTGGCCACTGGATTTTTGTCCCTC